AACACTAATATATCATTTGTATTTTGTACGTTAACCATAAAATATAAGATCTTAACAAGAATATGTATATACAGTATCACGTGATTGTAATCAACCGGGAGATTTGGGACCATGCAGGTCGATAATTACAATTATTTTTTAAAAAAAACAATAAGATATTGGTCCAAACAGGTCAGGTGTGATTAATTAGCTAACATTATCACATGATTTAATAAACTTTGAGATTTGAGACCGTGCAGGTCAACAGGTCTGGTGTGAATAATTAGCTAACCAAGATATGCTTGACAATGGCCGTGGAACTGAATCATCCATATCATTATTATATGAAGATATTTTTGTTTTATTACTTGGTGAAAGTGTACTCTCTCTCTCTGTCTAAATGTTAGAACGCAACCAGTTATCAAATCTTATAATTGAGATTCTCTCGTCCCCGGCACATAGTCCAGTGATGCGAAAAACATGAGTGAGCTTATTTCACGCCTTGTTGACAGTCGCAGTATGGAGGTTCGATTCCTGAGACATGGAATTGAACTCCTTGTAGGTGTAGTATACAGGCATCTCTTGTTTCCTGACTTGATAAGGCACATCCCGCGATTTACCTCCTTCATAAAGTTCTAAGGACAGGGCGGTGAAAACCCTCAAAGTTGGGATTCAACCTTTATAACTAAGATTCTCTCTCTATGTCGGTATAGTATTATGCTATTTGTACAAATAGCTTTATTGATTTGTACAAAATAGATTTTCAAAATTGGTTGACAAAATACGTGTTGACAAAATTCAAGCTGTTGATTTTCAACAATTTAAAAATTTATTTTTTAAATAATTGGTGTAGATATTACACTGCCTACCGATTTTGTAAACATATAGCATAACTCATCCGTATATATCTACACGCACTTGGTAAGTAGGGATAAAGAAATATTCCTCACGTGTGACCTCAATCATGCTCATGCCAATTTTTTAAATGATCTATATTTCCTACAAAAATGGAAATGGGATTTTCAAATGGTCATTTATTTTCTTGGGGGAATTTTTCATATAACTTTAGTTTATTGGACAAAGCACAAAATAATCCTGTTTAATTAAAAGTCCTTTTAGTTATAGCCTCATAGGTCAAAAATCAATTCAACCATGTGAAAAACAACTTCTTCTTTTTTTTCTTTTTCCTTCTATTTACAACATTTTTCCAATACAAAAGAGGTTGATTTGACCACACATCCAACCAAAAGGTTGTAACATGCAATGATGATCGTTCAACTTGTTCCCCTTTTCAGAAAAGCCATAGAGCCAGATTCAAATACAGCGGCGCCAAAAAAATAAAAAATAAATAACATTGTTGTTATTTAAATAATATGTAGCTTTTTAGTATTCACGTTTGATTAAGGGTCTGTTCAGTAGTGATTTTGAAAATTAATTTTTTGATCGTTAGAAACAAAGTGGGGGCCACCTGAAAAAGAAAAAGTCCAAAATTATGATTAAAATAGTGAAATAACGGTCAAAAAATCAATTTGTTGGACTGAAAAATCACTCCCAAATGAGGCTTAAATTACAAAGATTTCCTTTGAGGTTCATGACCATAATAGAGATACACCCTCATTTTTCAAAAATTTCAGGAACCTCTCCTCTCAACATAAATTTTGTGTTTTATCCGTTTTCTCGTTATTGATTATATTTATTTTCTTAAATGTAATTAAACAAAAATAATTTTCTTTAATTTTGAAAAGCTTATTTATTTTATCTTTTCTACATAGTAATTTCATTTTATCACATTTTTGTAAATTTTAATTTCATAAAATGAACAAATTAAAATTAATATAAAATATTAAAAAAAAAAAAAAGAAACCTGAGCAAAAAAATTTTGATTCCAATTTTTTGCATATTTAATGTTATGATAATATTACTTTAATTTTTATAATATTAACATAGTATAAATGTCAAGAGTATAAAAAAAATTTTAATTATAGAATTGCTATCCCTATCCAAAATATTTAATGAGCTTTCAGTTAGCTTTATTAATTAATTTTAAAACATTTATTTATGTTAATTATTTAATTATTTGCCAATAATATTATTTGTCAATCATATTGCAGAATTAAAAAAAACACAATATACAATTTTATAATTTTATAATAATACACATAATGGTACTTTTTAACTAAAATGATCTCTTCTAAATTAAAAGTAAGAAAAAAATATCATAACAACTACGAAGAAATATAATAAAATAAAATTACAATTTCTAAATAGTATAGAGGAATCAATGAAAAATAAATATTTACTTTTTGTTGAGAGTGGGGAATCTATTACCAAAAGTAAACTTTAGTAGAAGATTTTAAAATTTTTGAAAGTGAAAGCGAGTTTTTTGTAATTGTCATGAACCTCACGAGAGTTATATATAATTTTCTCTTGAAGTCTTGCTTTTCCAACCCAAATCATTCAAATCAATCAATCAAATCTAACCCGACCAGTTTGTGTTGGTTTTTGTAGTAAATCGGGTGGTTTTTGAGTTTCATAATCAAATTTTAGGTTGGGTTGTGAGTTACCCATAAAAAATGATCAACCCAACCCAATCTAGTTAATTGAAAATTATTACTTAAAAAATCTAATAATTCTCTAAAATTGATTTAGAATTTCAATCATCTCTCTCTCTTTTCTCCTCTCACCACCCACATCCAACCAACCAATCCACCACTGCTTCCTCATCACCATTTTCTACTGACACCTAGAGGGCTATAGCCTTCAATTTAAGCTCCTTTTTGTCAAAACTCAAAAATTACCTCTATCATCTAATCAGTCGACAGCCCTCAACAATGCTTTACGCTTCTCGAAATTCATCTATCAATGTGACAAATTGACGATTTTATTAGGAGTCAACTCTCCAATCAGCTGCCTTTTAATGCTAGCCATAATGTCTTTTAAAGCAAATGTGCTTATTATAGTGACGATAGAGTTTGTGATTTCGTACTTGATTTTTAGGAACGACGATAAGAATGTGGTATTGTAAAGAAGGAAAAATTATGCTATTGTGTTATGAATCTTTGAAAGTAAAAAATTGACCAACCCAAGCTAGGTTGGTTTAGGTCGAGTTGGGTTTCAAACTTGAATGGGTTGATTCGGTTTTTCTCATCAACATGTTAGGTTGAGTTCGGACTAGGTCCAAAATCCCGATGCACACCCCTACTTTTAACAAAAGGTGATTATGTCATTTCACCACATATTTTTATATTACACATTTTAATTTCTTTAAAGGTCCTTAACTTCTATTTATTGTCATATTTACCTCTCTAACTTTTTTTTTTTTTTTAATCACAATCCTATCCTTAATATTTTATTAATGTCCATAATGACAACTCTGATCAAAAGATTCAATTATCGAGCAAATATTAATTACAATTTTCATAATATTCTTTGTTATTCTCTATTTATTCAAAAATGCAAGGAATGAATAAGACTTTTTACTCTCTTTGAACGAAGTGTTGTTTTTTTTTTTTTTTTTTTTTTTTCTAGCATCTGTCATTAGGGAGTAAATGTAGGGAGAATTGCAGTCACAGTACCAAGTATTTCCCTTTGTTACAGACTTGATCCAAACTTTTCGTTTTTACCAACTACGATGCCAAACTTTTCAAAAATTCTTAGTTGCAATCCAATCTTATGGAATCTGTTAGTTCATCTATTAGTTGATCAAAAGTCAATATTTGACCAAATTTTGACTAATTTTAAGATTCAAATAGTAATTTTACATTTCTATATTAAAATAAATAAAGGTGGTGTTTGAGAGTGATTTTTCAACCCAAAAAATTGATTTTTTGACCGGTATTTCACTATTTTAACCTTAATTTTTGACTTCTTCTCTCACAGATGGCCTCTGCTTTTCTCTTAACGGTCAAAAAATCAATTCTTGAAATTTCTACCGAACAGGGCCAAAATCAAAAGCCAAAAATGAAAAAGAAAAAGAAATACACTTCATCTTCTCCACTCACCCCCCCTCCCACACACACGCACCCCACCCCAAAACCAAAAACTAGGAACCACCCACTTTCCTGCCACCGGCACCAACAACTGCCACCGTCTCTACAATTAACGACATGGTTAGCAATGTTAACGAATTGCAATCAACTTCAAAGTCCAAAGGAAGAAAAGAATTTTCATGAAGCTGCCAAAACAAAACAATTTAACAAGATTTACACAAAATTCCTTTGGGTGCCAAGATCTATATGATCCTTCATTGGCTTCAAATTATTCATATTCATAGCTTCTTCTGCTATAAGTTCCGCATTATTCGCCTCTCTTTCGATGCCAATTTCATCGCTTTCGGGTTGTTCAATATCCTCTACAAAAGATTCAACTTGTTTGGTATTGATAGGATTACAGTATTGTAGGCTTAATCCATCTGTTTTGGAGGCAGAAAACGTCTGAGTTCGAGTAAATATGAGTTAGGTTTGACAGGCATCTGTTAGTTTTGATGGCGAGTTTGGAGGATTTAAAGGCTAACAATTTCCCTGCAAATTTGCTTCGAATTGGAAGAATTGAAACATGGCGGGTTGTTAACCGTTAATTGTGTTGGAATTTTGTACGTAAAATTGGTTTACATAATTATTTAAGTGAAATTCTTAATTTGGTGAATGAGAAATTAAGCCAAATATAAAGTCGCTTAATACTTGAAATTATTGAAAATTCGTATAGAATATTGTGGAATATTCTAGAAATATGTGGATGAAAAGTGTGTCTTTTCATGTGAAAGATCATGACTCTTGGTATGGGTATGATTAATTTTCAATAATTGTGTCTCTTGATGTATAGAAATAAATTCCAAGAGATGTGACTCTTGATATGATTGTGTCTTTTGACATACATTTCCAACTACTATATATAGACCCCATATATTTGAATTTTATCATTCAACAAATTCAAGAAAAGTCATAGATACCATATCATTCAATTTCAATTTACAATTTGGTTTTGCATAAAACATTTGCATCAAAGTCATGGTCATGGTCATGGTCATGGTAGAGAGGGAATTTCGTTCGAGTTCGCTGGTCGAAGTCATTTGGAATGCTCCTATGACTCGACGTGGTTGTTATATCTTGGGAGATGATTGCCGGATAACCGTTAGCACCGATGCAAGGCAAATTCTTCTTAAGGACAAAGTGTCCAACACTTGCATCGACAAAAAATCCGTCATTTACATCTTTTTTCTTCATTTTTTGATTCCTTTTATTATGATTTGATTTCAGAAAATGATTAACGTTATTTATATGTTTATCCTGCAAGGTTTGATCCAAAGAATTACTTGCTTTCGATCATGAGTTGAAAGGAAAGAATCCATATTTAGGTATTCGAATTTGATAAATTCTTATTTTGTCTTGTTAAATCCAATTTCAGTAAGTTGGAATACGTTTCGATTTCATGCAAATAAACGATATGTTTATTATGAATATAATATGCACAATTATTGGTGTAATTTTCGAACAATCTTAAGATGAATTTTAAGTGGTTTTATTGTGTATTTATATTCTAAATTTCGACAAATATATCACGTGCATTTTCTGGAAATTGTTTTGCACAGAAATAGTTCATTTGAAGTGGAAACGATGTGTCAGTATGCACGTGTAAATTGTTATTATGCTTATGTGAGAATTGGCACTTAAGTGGAGAGCCAGAATCCATGTTTGTGCATAATTGTTACAATTAACATTGGTTAATGGAAATTGGAACAAAGGCAAGAATTGACCATATTGGTTATTGAACAAGTGCATGTGGCAATTCCATTAAATAACTTTTTATGTTATGCGCAATTTAAAATGCAATTATGGTGGTCAAGAATATACAATTAAATGCATACGTTGCAGTAATTTGAAAAGGTGACCCATCAAAAATTAAGGCAGAAAATAATAGCGGCATTTGGTTTATTCGGTGCCTTTTCAATTCATTGATAGTCACTTTTATGTTGAATTGGCGTGCACAATATTGGATGATATAATCTGGTTGAATGGGTGTTTTATTCTTCTTTGAAAGGTTGGGCTCTCAATTAATGTCATTCCAATTAACTGTGTATGTGAACCATAAAAATATGATATTCTTTATTTCTCTATTATTGCATGAAAAAAGGCCAGAATTCAGTTATAAAATCTATTCATGTGTTCTGGTAGTACACTGCCTTATGTATTCTGTATATCTGAAATCAGAATAAATTGCATAAACGTGATATGTTATAGGGATTGCCTTAATTGTCAATGAAATTAAAAGAACTCTTCCTTCTTCCATGATGAGATAGGCACAAACTGATGTTTTACATCCTAAAACCATAACATGCATCCAATATTTTGTTGAAAATCGGGATTGAGTATTGCGTAGATAATGAATCCCTTACATGGTAAATTGATGATAATCAATGAAAAGCTGCCTTCCTAATAAAGAATTGGTTTGTGTTGAATGGTGCACATGAATGAGAGGAAGAGGTGTGTTCCTTTGGCAGGAAATATTGAATTAGATCTGATCATTATTTTTTGGATAAGGGATCTGATCATTATTTCTTGTAATGGAATATGAAAAAAAAATACATGGATCATTGAGTATATCTTTAACTGTTTGAATTAATTGATAGTTAAGGTTAATTATAGTTTTGAATGAAAGTGCACACCCTTTCATTTTGGTAAGTTACGAGAGCTAGCGGAATGTAAAGAATAAAACCGTTTTGCTTCGATCCATGGCTATAAAAGGGCATGAATTTGGTGACTTTTCATTCTAGTATGAATTTGATAACACCTAAAATTTCATGGGATTTAAATGCATGATTAAATTCTGCATAAAAATATTATTTTATAAGATTGTGCATGAAATAATGTGAAACGGCATATACGATAAGTTGCATATACGGTATGCGTCAATCTGGTAAGTGACATATACGGTATGAAGTTGTAAATTTGATATATGTCCATGGATTTTGGTTTGAAAATTATACAAACCTTGATTAATGATGATATTGAATATCCATGTATGAAATCCACTAGTAAATATGATTGACTAGTGTAACAGTTTGTTAGAAATCCTCCAGCATTGTTGTTTGGAATTGATAAAGCTTTAGATAAAGCTAATGAGAAGCATGTAGTTTCATGAGAGGATTTCTTAGTTGGTGACAATGTGTATCTATCAAATGAATCGATCATTGGCTAGCTAAATTTGAAAAGATACTAAGTCACATATAATGGTAAGTCTAGACATGTATGTTGTAGGTATAATACCATGAGCAGTTGATCTCATTGGTGTAAACTTGTGGATCCATTTATATATGTTTACCAAGAGATCAAGTATACTGCATATCGAAGGGAATGAGATTAAGTCTACTGAGTAAGAGTCCTTATGATGGTAACCCTATCATGTTGACTGGAGATCCCAAGATCTTGGTTCAAAGAGACAAATAAGTTATGGGAATTCTATGAAGCACTTAGGAAACTAATTTCCTAACTCATTCCTGTGATACCAAAGTGCTTTCTACAGAGTGATTGGAGGTTAAGATAAACTTTTAATGATTCCTATATCTTGATTAAATCAAGTGGAGTATGGCACAATACTCTTAATAGGAGATCACCTATATAAGTGTGAAGTGGGGCCTTTTTAATGAGAATTATTCAAGGCTTGAATTCTCTAAACACTTACAGAACCAAGATGGATTCAGGGCCAAAATAAATAAAGTCATGAGAACCATGAACTGTTTATGGGAGACATTGTGTGAGTACTGTTATCTTGGTTTATACTAACGACTAATGGTTCAAGAACATCGCGTTCACCAATTAGCAAGTAAATCCGATGGTATTTCACTAAGGAAGGTTCAAAATTAGAAGCTATCTTACCTAACATTTGCATTAATTTTCATTCACGTGGGAGATTGTTGGAATTTTGTATGTAAAATTGGTTTACATAATTATTTAAGTGAAATTTTTAATTTGGTGAATGAGAAATTAAGCCAAATATAAAGTCGCTTAATACTTGAAATTATTGAAAAATCGTATAGAATATTGTGGAATATTCTAGAAATATATGGATGAAAAGTATGTATTTTCATGTGAAAGATCATGACTCTTGGTATGGGTATGATTAATTTCCAATAATTGTGTCTCTTAACGTATAGAAATAAATTCCAAGAGATGTGACTCTTGGTATGATTGTGTCTTTTGACATACCTTTCCAACTACTATATATAGACCCCATATGTTTGAATTTTATCATTCAACAAATTCAAGAAAAGTCATAGGTACCATATCATTCCATTTCAATTTACAATTTGGTTTTGCATAAAACATTTGTATCAAAGTCATAGTCATAGTCATGGTCATGGTAGAGAGGGAATTCCGTTCGAGTTCGCTGGTCGAAGTCATTCGGAGTGCTCCTATGACTCGACGTGATCGTTGTATCTTGGGAGATAATTGCCGGATAACCGTTAGTATCTATGTGAGGCAAATTCATCTTAAGGACAAAGTGTCCAACACTTGCATCGACCAAAAATCCGTCATTTGCATCTTCTTTTTTCATTTTCTCATTCATTTTATTATGATTTGATTTCAAAAAATGATTAACGTTATTTATATGTTTATCCTGCAAGGTTTGATCCAAAGAATTACTTGCTTTCGATCATGAGTTAAAAGGGAAGAATCCACATTCAGGTATTCGGATTTGATAAATTCTTATTTTGTCTTCTTAAATCCAATTTCAGTAAGTTGGAATACATTTCGATTTCATGCAAATAAACGATATGTTTATTGTGAATATAATATGCACAATTATCGGTGTAATTTTCCAACAAATTGCAGAGACGGTGGCGGTGGGGTAAGTTGGTGTGGGTGGTTCCTGGTTTTGGGGTGGAGTGGTCGGTGGAGAAGATGAACTGCATTCCTTTTTCCCTCTTTTTTTCTTTTTATTATTTATTATTTTTTTTAACATAGAAAAGATAAATGTACTATTTTAAGCTTTTAAAATTAGTCAAACTTTGGTCGAATTATTGACTTTTGATCAACTAGCAGATGAACTAATAAATTCAGTAAGATTGGACTGCAATTATTTTTGAAAAGTTTTTGTATCTTGATTAATACAAATGAAATATTTGGATCAAATCTATAACAAAATAAATGGCTTGGTACCATGGTCACAATTCTCCGTTAAATGTAATTAAAGTTTGATAATGAAAATGTTATGAAAAAATTTTGGAATACAATACAACTATACAAGCGTGACAATTATTAAGAATTATGAACTTTTTATGTAATTTAAATGTTGTGTACTCGTGAGAAAATGTGGTTTGAATATATTATTATTGACAACGTTTTTCTCCAATTTGTCTAATTCTCAACATTGTAATTGAACGTGATTAAAAACCATACACACATAATAAATAGAACCTTACAAAATACACCCTTCATTTAGAAATATTTACAAAATTTATCATTATAAACAGCTAAATATACCAAAATACATTTATTAAAAATAACAAATCACACCTTATATACTAATTTATGTAACATTTTATGTACTGTTTGTTTAATTATTTTATTATTTCTTAAAAGTTAATTACCTGAAGATTATATTTTGAATTAAATGCTTTTTTTCTTTTTTCTTCATTTTCTTTAAACTACAACTTGAAAAAAATAATAATAATGAATTAATAATGTGTTAAAAAAAGTAAAAACATAATTTAAAAAATTTCCAATATTATAAGATGGACAAATGGAATTATCATTTGTCATCAGGTAAGTAATAATTTATACAAAATAAATAATATTTCAAGAAAAATCTAGGAAAATAATATATGATATTATTTATTATTCCGCATATTAAAATGAATTTATTATTCATTTTAAGATTCGTGTTATAATTTTATACCATTTTGCAATTTGACAACTTTTCTAGAATCCATCCATTATTTTATTATTTTTTTGATGACATTGTTCGTTATTATAACAAACATTAATAATAGAATATTAATATAAATATTAAAAAATATCAAGTTACTTGTTTATTGAAAATACTTGAATTAATAGAAAAGTGAAATATGAGAAAGATAGAATGAAAACAGAAAAGTTAAATTTTTTTTTTTTTTTGGATGAAAGAGTAATAGTAATTACAACTTTGAAGAATAATAACTTGTATAAAATATTAATTAAATAACTTGTTATTTTTCAATTAGTTACTTTGGTCTGTTTAGTCATTTGAAATTTGTAAATATTTCTATTTTTCCTTCGAAGTGTGTACCAATAAGTAGAATTCAATAAGAAAAAATGTAATTTTGTAAAATATGGTATACAAAATTCAAATACACCCTAAACGTAGGGGGTATTTTGTAAATTTTTATTGAGTATCCAATTTCATGAGTGCAAGAAACCAAACATGTCACAAGTCTTGCCTAAATCGTTATTTTTTGCATCTCTGAGGTATCAAATCTTGTAGCTTTCCAAAGGAGAAAATTTTGAGGTCCCTATTTGATGATCAGAGGCATATTGTTCATTAGCTTTTAACTAAATTAAGTGAATATTTCTACACAACCATAAGACACTTTCTTTCAGAATTTTAAATATTTCTCAATTTGAGAAATAATTGAAGCCAAACATAATTATGTGGTCGAATTGTCTATAACCATGATGAGATATGCATTTAGAGAATGGTATTTTGATTCAAGCTTGAAAACTACAATCTTTTATTGGTTTGGATGGAACATTCTAATGAGAATATTAAAAGGCAAAGTTAAAATCTCAATATTGCAAAATACTGTAATTAAGCATGCACAGTATAGTTTAATTAATTTAATGCATAGTATTAGTAGATTATATTTTATATAATCCCTTTTTAAGTGTTTGTAAGGGAGAGATTATTTGAAGTGAAAAAATATAAATGTATGGTCAAAAACTAAAATTATGGATTTACATATAAAACTATTTTATTAAGAAAATATTTGAGAAAAAATTAATTTATTTTCAAATAATTTATGCAGAACAAAGACTTTTTGACATCAACAACAACTTCCGACCATTTCATAAATGAGGACATACTCCCTTTCATACACCATAATAAATGTTCATTAAATAAATCTTTCCAGGCATGACAAGGAAAGGAGTGGGCTTGCGTTTGTATAAATTTTCGTGTAAAATAATGATGGGTTCATTAATTAATTTATTTTACCTCCTTGCCAGTTAATAGCTTCGTAGGGAAATCTTTGAAAACCATAAAAAAAATCTTAAAACCCTTATAATAATCTTTGCTTGTATATAAACACCATAGAAATCTAAGAAACAAGGCCTGCAGGATCTTGACTAAACTTTGCTTCCCAGGTCTTCTTTTCTTGTTTATATAATCTCACTGATATAATCCAAGAAAGAGATGTATCAGTCCCAACACAACAATGAAGTGATCTTCGATCAAAACCCTTTAATTATATTCCAGCAAGACGAAATCCTTGAAGATCTGCTGCTGGATCATGTTTTGATGGACTGCAGTCATTTTGCAAATGAAGACGCCAAGAAGAGGAAAAGAAAATCATCTACAGGTGTTAAAGAAAAGAATATTGATGACAGTAGCAATGAATACAAGCTTAGGAAAATTATGCATAGAGATCTTGAAAGGCAAAGAAGGCAAGAAATGGCTAACCTTTACGCTTCACTTCGATCCCTTCTTCCTCCTGAAAACATCAAGGTGAGTAAAAACCATAATATATTTGCTTTTAATGACAATATGGTGCAAATTGTCAATCCTATGGTGAGTTGAAATTATTCATCCTTACCCCTCATATGGGTATATCTTGTACTTATGGATATAAATAGTCGACGTGAAAGCTAGACCTTCTCATCCTAATTCCTTATCTTTTTCTCTTAGTTCCTCTAATTAATCTTGCATACATTCTTGATGTTTTGATTAGGGAAAACGTTCAATATCTGATCACATGCACGCGGCTGTAAATTACATTCAACAAATGCAAAGGAAAATTAAAGAACTTCAAATTCGGAGAGATCAACTGAAGAAGTTCTCCAATTCAGGAATCTTACTTAGTTCTGATAATGGAAGCTCTTCAAACAGTGATTTGCCTAATTTCGAAGTCATAGTGAATCGTGGCCGGGATGGAGTGGAGATTTTAATCAGCTTTGTATCTAAAGATGAAGGATTTCCCCTTTCAAAAGTGTTCACTGAACTTCTTGAAAGTGGGCTTAACGTTGTTAGCTGTGTTTCTACAAAAGCAAATGAAAGAGCACTTTATAGAATTCAGTCCTCTGAGGTACAAATCATTACAACTCAGATATAGGAATGAATGATTTCATTGTGTTCTGGGATTAAGGTTATCTAGATTAATTAGTACACTATTATTTTCATCAACTATCTGATACTATCCTGTTTATTGACCATATTGCAGGCCAATGACTCCAGTACTGATTTATCTTTGCTGCAAGGAAGACTGGCAAATGTCATCAATTGTCTTTAAAGTTTGAGCCATCGATTCTTTATGTTGGTGACCGTTCACTTATGGTTAGTTTCGAATAGGCAACCTTGAGCCGTCCGAGCAAATAAGATGACACAAACAGGTTTTGTATCATGAGTTTGTACCATGCACATTACTTAGGTCGTCTCTAGAAAGTTATGTCGGGACAATTACGAATCGATCTTCAAGGGAAAAGTCTTGGCACAGTGTGATCAAAGCTTGGATTTGCAAATAAATAGTGGTTGATATGCCACCTTGTAAAATCAGAAAGATAGTACTTTGGAACTCAACTTGAAGTCAAAATCATTTTGATTTGCATTTGGATCTGATAGTTTCAAGATTTTCACTGTCAAAGGGCCTATATTTTTCCTTGCTATAAAATTATCCAATGCAAGTCAATAATTTCCCACTTCAATTTACAACAATCTCTAATAATTCTTGTTAACATAACTCAAGTTGTAGACCGATGTTTGCATTTGGCTTACCGTTCTTTTTTTAAATGTTTGACACTGTCAAAAGCTTAAAATTTAGAAAAAAGACAATTGTATTTATTTAAATTTTATTTTTGATTGAGTTTTACAAGTTTCAAATCAATTTGATAAGATCAAGTGTGCTCCCTGTCCCGACTTGGGGATAGGGATAAAAACCGGAGCGCCACATGGCTCCCTCTATTGGTGGGGTGCCTGTCAGGGGACATGGGGTTTTATCCTTTATAGGATTCGCTGAAAACGATATAAAGACAAGGAAAGGAAAAAATACTTATTTATTATCCGTGACTTGTCATGTCATTTGATAATTAGTGCAATGATTAAGCCTAACTAAAGGCCAAATTGATCAATAATTGAGATTGTAGATATACAGTTTGCTAGAGTGAAAATTTGCCCAAGTTGCGAGAAGATTCTCCCTATTTTCTATGACACTTCAATGCATTTCTGGAAATCTGACGGATTAGAGGGAGAAGGGTTGGTGTCAAGCACTTCTGAATGGACGGTGGCTGGTGTACAGGGGTCACATGAGCTCTGACAATCATGGTACTTGTACATTTTATTTGATATCAAATTTAACATTATGCCATATATCGTAATATAATTTGATAGTTTTTAAAAATTAAACACTTTCCCACTAACAACATTTTGAATTTTCAAAGCATGTAAAACTTCATGTACAATGTGAAATGTACAAAAGAAAAAAGGTTAAACACCAACCTTGAGGGATCCCACCGCCCGCCTCGCCCTTGAAGCATCGTGAGAGAGGTAAATCACGGAATGTGCCATAATAGG